TGATGACTCTAGGTGTGCAGAAAAGGTCCCCAGGCAAGCCCTTCTGGTCGTCTGGGCTCACTTACATGGGTTCGCACCATCGGCCACGATCAGCATGCGCAGTGAGCTGAGGCTGATGTCTCTCTGACCCCGCTGAGCTAGGAGAGACCAGTGCATATCACGGGACTTCACCAGCGCGGCCTGGGCTGCAGAGAAAGGGTGGCATAGGCGCCGTCATATCAGGAAGAGGGCAGGCACCCTCAAACCCCTATAGACACGTGCACTTCATCCCCGTGGAGGTACAGGTGCACAGAAAGAGACACAGGTCACATACTCTGTTTGTATGAGCCTAATGCACCCCAACCCTTTTTCCTGACAAACCAACTCAGACCCACAGCCAACTTTATGTTCCCCTAAGCTCTAAGTCACGCTTTCCATCTATCTGTTGTGCCTCACTTTGTGCCTCCTCGAATTGCTGGCCTGGTTTTGCAATGCTCCATAGCTCCTGCAGCCCTGTCACCTGGCCGGCCATATGCTAGATCTGAATGGGTAGACTCAGTCCTAAATCTTGGCCACGTACTGACTAGTATGTGGTACCCAGCACCTTCTAACCAGGCTTCAGTATAAAAGTAGATAAACAGCTGCCACCTCGATGCTGCTCTGAGCTGGTGTACCAGCACCAACAGAGAGCTCCAAGTAGCGCAGGTACACTCACTCCAGGTGAGTAGCCAAAGCAAGTTAGGGCCTCAAGGGCTGGTGCAAGTGTACTGAGCTAGCAGACACAGAGGGTCCCAGAATCACCTGGACCATAAGGCTGGGAAATGAGGAGAGTAGGGTGCAAACCCCCAGATGGTCTTATCTCACTACATCTCATCCCACCCATCATGGGCCAATGCATCTGAACAAACGGCTTTGCTACCTGTGCCTTTAAAAGTCCTAAATTCAAATGAAACCATCTTAAATATACTAAGATTAGGAAAATGGATGCAATCATAGAGAAAATTTCAAGAGAATAAAATCAGGAGCCCATGGCCCCACAAATGTTAAGTCCTCTGCAAGTGGCTGCCCCATCTCGCACACTTGAGTGTGGTCAGACTGTGGTAGCCCACAGGGCAGGGCCACAAGTGGGCAAGAATGCAGCATACATCCTATGGCTCCTCAGCTCCCAGCTACCGTTCCACTTGTCAGTTTTTTTTCCCCCCTAATGGCCAAAGACCATTTTGATCAGCCAAACGATGGCAGCATATCTGTACCTTTGTAAGAACACACTTTCTGGATCCAGGACAGTGGGTTGACTTTCATCAGTGCGTATGGGATGCTGACCACATGCATCCTGTTCATGACGCTCTGCAGGAAGAACAAACCTGCTTAGGGCCAGGTGAACTGAGCCAGGTCAGAAGAAGCAACACAAAACCACAGGCCTCACGCGGTATCCCAAGCATAGACTGGAGCTCGTCTCTCGGTATGAAACGTTAGCAGCCCCTGTTCCAGTAATTAGCCATTAGCAAACAACACTCACTGTTAGCACTCCATGCCACAGACCAGCATCCCTTTTGAAATCCAGCACGTTTGTTAATGTTTCAGCTGAAAGTGGACAAAGAAGGTTAAACCACTAAGAAATTCTCTTCACAAGCTCTGTGCATTTTCTGAGAAATGCTGAGATGAGTACATCAATGGCACATAAGCTTTAGGAAACAAAGCATTTCCAAATACCAAGCACCAATTAAGTAATAATCTTGTTTTCTATTCAGGTTACTACAAAAACATGAGAAGGTCATATAACTTTGGATTGAAATAAAGAACTATGCTGATCACTAATCTGAAAACATAAGGATCACCATATTCTTAAGAAAATATAAGATGTTATTACATATTTTTCATCAAATGTTTTGATTAGAAAGTCTTTTTTCACAACCAATAGGTGAGGGTGAGGAATGGTCATAGACAGTCCTACTTCTCAACTTTACACCCAGATTCCCCAGTTCATATATCCAGAAGCTGGGGCCCTGCATCTTCTTGCCCGAAAAGCTGGTGGCTGTGTCCTCCTTTGGAAAGTTGCTCCTTGCCTCTGCTATTTGCTTGCCTAAAGGTGGGGTGAGACGAGGCTGATGCAGTTTAGGGAGCTGGAGTAGATGGGTCCTGCAGACTCCTAATACAGAATCCCAAGCCCAGTGCCCATGGAGGCCTGGCTCTCACCTTGATCCAGGCAGAGGACAGAGCTTGGAGCTGTGGGGAGACCCAGTTCCCCACCAAAGGCCGTAGTCCCCAGTCAGACCATGGAGAAAGACCCAAAATGGAATGGTTGAGGTGTGGTCTGCGTGCTAAAAAATGCTGTTTTATTCTGAATAATACAACTATAAACACCCTCTGTTAGTTAAAGAACCCAAATTATAGGTAATATACATAAGATTAGTATTGGATCCGAAGAGAAGGAAAATTATAGAACTTTATTGTATAGGTCAACTTTTTAAAATTAAGAAAGTCCTTGATAATACCTGAATTCCCTTCCCAAATTTCCACTAAATTTTTTTAGCTGTACCCTAAAGAAACCCCTTGCTTTTAAATATCCGTATTTTAGATATTTAAACATATCATTCAATTTTGTTTTCTAGTATCCAATTCCAGTATTGCAATGTAAGAAAACTATCATGAATAATTATCATTATTTCACTTTTTAAAATAATACTTGTGGGCTGCCTTTATGGCCTGGTTGTTAAGGCAGCTGGATCCCACATGGTTGAAAATGCAGTTCAAATTTTGACCCCATCAGCCTGCAAAACAAGGCATGTGTGTATGCATGCCCCAAATCCTGACAGGGTAAAGAAATGGAAAAGAAAGGATTACAGCATGAGTGTAACCCACTGGGGAATTCTTTCTTCCGCTCTCTCTCTCTGATGTGTGCACATGCCCTCTGACAAAACTTTTTAAAAACAGATAAATAAAATATAATGATACTTCTTACATTTTACCTCATAAATATATACACATATCTATCGATTTAAAATAGCATTAACTAAACAGTTCATTTAAAATGTTTCTCTAAATATCTGATATTTAATAGTAAATACCAGGAGATGGCCTGTCACCCCAGTGATTCTTCTTGTGTAAGAGACATGCATGACAGCTTAAGCCACAACAGTCATAGAAAATAGTAAAAAACTATGTCCTAATGAGTGCTTCCCACATTTTTTGATGCACTGTGGTGCCTTTCAACATATTACCATTAAAATGAGCCTCCTGGGCTCTCTGTGAACCTACTCCTAGGTACATAAGAATGGTGCCTGCTGGGTTGTGCTCCTGGAAGTCAAATTATACATGTAAATTTACTGGAAAGAACCTGGAGTGAGCCACCTGGGCTCTGCTAAGAGATATCTACACCTGCCACATGTGAATTTACTGAAAATTGCCCTGAGTGGCTGTCTAAGCACTGCTGAGAGACCTGCACCACCAGTGCAACATGGCCACAGGAAGCAGTTCCAGGACTGATGGCTGTGTCTTCTTCCTTGGTATGACTTGATTAAAGGGCAAAGGCACTATTCAGAGGTGGAGGTGGCAACACAGCCACAGTTTCTGGGAGGAAGTCAGGTATGCAGGAACCTGTACAGGCTGCAAAGGAAGAGCTGTTGCCTGCATGCCGAGTGCCCTTACCTTCCGTGTAGCCGCACGCCTGGGTCAGAGCCCGGCACTGGGCCAGCAGGGATGCATGGGTCACTGTGACCCCCACTGTGCTGCCTTCTTTACTGGTTTTATACTGAAAGATTTCAAGAAAAAAACATTGAGTAATAGTTATAGAGGCCACAGAAGACAGAATGGAGGTTGACAGAATCTTAAAAAGTAGCAGCTATCTGTTCTCATTAGGCCCCAGTGTACTTCACAACTGGGTGCTCAAGGGGACACTGGATGAAGCCCTGGGCATCTAGGGCAGGCACTTGAGACAACAGTGAACCTGGGCTCCATCATAATTGTCTGTATCCCCAGGGGCCAGTTAAGACAGCATTAGGTCAGGACCAGCAGATGGCGAAATGGTTACATTGCTGGACTCCCATGTAGTCTACTGCAGTTTGAGTCTCAGACCCGATGGCTTAAAATTCACACTGGGCGCGTGTAAATGCGTGCCCAAAATCCTGACAGGAGAATGGAGGAGGGGATTGCAGTGTGGCCATCCCCCCCAGGGTGATTTCTTGCTTTCTGTCTATCTCTCCAGCAAGTGCACACGCCCTATAGCAAACCTCTCTCTTAAAAAAGAAAGAAAGCATTAGGTCAGAATGAGGGCAAGGAGAACTGGAGGAAGGTTCTGAGACACTATATTTCTGGAGCAGAGATAAAACATAAGGAGAACTCTGGGGCTGGCAGATGGTATGCTGGTTAAGGCACTGGACTCCCACATAGCTGACCATGGTTCAAGTCCTGAACCAGGTGACCTGCTTTCTTACTTTCCCACTTTCTCTCTCACTCTGTCCCTCTCTGGTCAAATTAAAATAAGTAGGTAAGTAAATAAATAAATAAAGTTAAATAAAATAATTCTTAAAACATAAACAAAAACAACATGAGAACTCTTAGCTTAAAATTACAAAATAAAACAAAACAAAACAATGGTAGAGCAGCTGATGTTCTAGGAGAAACAAGACCTGAGCCTGTGGCACCTGGCTCTGTACATTCTTGCCAGGAGCAGTTATTACCTCAATGTAGGCAGTCCCTGCCCCTGTGTCTTGAGCCAGAGGAAGCCAGTCCTTGGGAGGTTTGGCCAGGTGCTTCCCATCAATCACCAACCAGGCGAGTGGGGGCCAACCTGTGACAGCACAGACAGGGAACATGTGCATCTGGAGCTCAAAGCCTATGCGTCCAGCACCAGGTATTCGCAAATGAGCAATAAGGGACTGAGAGCTCGCCTCTGGTCCTTTCCATTTAAACTGGTGCTCAGGCCAGTGGCTACCATGCTGGACAGGACAGGTTGAGATATGTAACGACATAAAAACTGAGATTCACCAAGGCCCTGAACACAGTATCACTGTTGAAAAAGGCCCTTCTCATCCTCTATAATGTTTAATTGCTGGAACACTTTGCAGGGGTGGGGATGGGGGTGGAGGCTCACAGTTCAACTAAAACCACAGTCAGAATCCCGACCCCTCTGCCCTGAGAGGTCTCCTTACCTTTGAAAGTCGCCACCTCTCCAGTCTGTGCCTTGGGTAGGCCCTTCTGACAAGCATCTGTGGTCAGGGCCAGGGTGACTCCACAGCTGCCTAACAGAAACCCCACCTGCTGGCTGCCCGAATCCTGCAGAAAACAGCAACAGGGAAGGGGTGTTCACAGGGTTTCCACAGTCAGTGGGCTCCAGTAGCAGGGCATGCACAGAGAACTGAGCTTTTACTCCCCCCCACCACCACCATTCCATCTAAAACTTCTAGAACAATTCAGTCCTACTATTGGTACATAGTACCAATGCCCATCATTGTCGCTGGTACATAAAACATTTTCATGGAAATTGTTCAAGAAAATGAAGTATTGTTTTTAAGTTTAAAAGATGTTTTTGCAGTGAAATACAAAGTTTTGCATAATGGGCTAATTTCTCAAACTTTATTCTTGCAAATGACACTTAGAAGTATTTTAATAAACTCTAGAAACAGTAGCATTGAAATTTTTATTGAATCATATTTGAAATTTACAAATAAATCTGGGGAGGCCTGATATGTAACAACAATATTAACTATGTCTACACAGAATACGTACTTCCTTTTAGTTATGTCTTCTTTTATTATGTTCCACAGCAAAGTTCTGTTCTTTTTTTTTTAAGTTCGACAGATCTCTACTATCTTTCCTAAGAATCACTATATTAAAATACCTACTCATTATACCATCCTTGAGATATGCTGATTTTGTTTTGTTTTGTTTTAAAGTCTTTGCCACAGGGCATGTGCAGTCACCAAAGAGAGACAGAGAGAGACAATGAAGGAAAGGGAAATGAGAAATCACCTCCCAGAGGGAATGGCCACACTGCAATCCCTTCTCCATTCTCCTGGGATTTTGAACATGCAAGCACATTGCATCTGACATGATTTTTAAGCTACCAGGTCCAAGAATCGAAATGCAGTAGGCCACGTGGGAGTCTAGTTTCTTAACCATTATGTCACCTTCTGGACTCAAGATATGCTGGTTTTATTTACAAGCTCTACTTTTGGGATTCTTAAATATGTGTTGTTGATAATGTTCATAGTAACTGCTTGAACACTGGGATAGAATGACATAAAACCATATTTCTAAATACTTGCCTAGACTACTACTAAAATGTTATCTTTTCTGTAATCATTGATATTATATCTAAACTTGCTACAACATCAGTAAACTCCCCACTTTAATAATAGATCAGCAACAAAAACTATCTACATGAATGTGAGCAGAAATGTATGATCCATCTTGTTTATTCAAAACTGCCACTGAGAAGTGAGCAGTATATATCTCTCTATAGATATGTATTTATTCTTGAAAAATGAAAATTATCAATAAATATATTGTTTATAAGAAAAATTCAACCAAATCTTATAAAATCAGAAATTATATTCATTAGAGGAAAAAGATTCTCATCATTGTTGATGTTGGAAAATTCAAACAGGTGGCAGGACAGCTCAGCTTCACCTAGTGAGAGTGTACTATGGGACTATCCCTGCCATGCTGTCCTGGGCACCCCGTCATCTCCAAGATGGGTGAAAAAGAGTGTACTCAGACACAACTGCATCCAGTTTCCCCTGAAGTCCTACCCACTCAGCTGCCACTATTCTCTCCTCTGTCAGAATAGCCACTTGTTACTGCACATGACCACTGCGTTCACACATCAAGCTCAGGACAGGACTGTGGGGTGTTAGCCCCGGGCTGGCTGAGCTCACTACCTTTCTTGTTAATGGCACTTCTATGGGAACAGGAACCAGCTCTGCCAGGAGGCACCCATAAAATGCAACCATGAACATCACCGGGTCACTATTTGGAAACACGAGCGCCACCTACAAGAACACAAAGAAAAACCATGAAATCTACTTGGAATGATTGAGTCTTTTCAACTTTTAGATAAAGTCTCTACTGATCAGATGGAACTCAGACATTTTAGATTTTCTTATAATTTTCTAAATTTAGTTCAGAAAATCGAATTTGGGGATTAATTCTTGGTCCTTAAATTTCCTCATTCTTGTAACTTATTTTTATTTTTAGAGATTTTTGCTATAGGGCACATGTGCTCACTGGAGAGACAGAGAAGCAGAAAGCAAGAAACGAACCCCCCAGAGGGAATGGCTACAGCCCAATCCTTTCTCCTCTATTTTCCTCTTGGAATCTTGGGCACATACACACACATCCCTAGTGTGAGTGTAAGCCATTGGGTCTGGGACTCGAACCCTGTTGGCCATGTGGGAGTCCAGCAACATAACCACTATACCATATAGTGGTTCTGTCATTCATGTTTTTAATGACTGGTTTTTAGGTCGAGGCACATATGCAATGAAGCAATAGCAAATTTCTGGGATGAAAGGGAGTTTCCAAGGTTCTAGCTGTGTGATCTAGATCCAGTTTCCACCTGTGCTGACCATCACCTCCCGTCACCTTCAGCAACATTAAAAATGGGCAAGGAATACAATTACATCTAAAACAATAGCTTCTGGGGGAAAAAAAAGCGAACACCAATTTTTTAAAAAGAATTATTTATTTTATTTTTTATTATTATTAATTTTTTATTTGACTAGAGAGAAACAGAGAGAGTGAGAGAAAGGGAAAGTGAGAAAGCAAGCCTCCAGGTCCAAGACTTTACCCAAGGTCAGCCATGTGGGAATCCAGCACCTTAACCACCATGCCACCTGCTGGTTCTAGCACCAATGTTTTAATTGTAAACATCTTCCACTCAAGACATATGCGTCTAGGGAGGAGAAGACAGCCAAGAGGGACATAGTCCAACTCCCCAGTCCTCCCTGATCATCATGCTGCCACTGTTTGATTTGGAAGCTTTCCTTTGTCTCACATTTAAATTTTTATCAAAATCTGTAAAAATACAGGAATTAAAATGACAAAAGTACTAATGAAACAATACTTGTGTTCCATCCTTACCTACTCTCCAAATCAACCACTTGTAAAACATTTTAGATCTTTCTTTTACTATTTATTCTTATATTTTTCTTTAAGAATTATTTTCCTTAATTTTTAAATTTATTATTATTTTTTAATTTGACCAGAGAGAGACAGAGATGAAACATGAGAAAGCAAACTGGCAGGTCTGGGACGCAAACTGTTAGACCACATGGAAATCCAGCGTCCTAATCACCACACCACATGCGACCCCCAATTCTTATGTTTTTAAAATTATGTTTACACTGCTAATTTCCTTTTTAAAAATATTTAGCTACCTACTTTACCTCCTGTCATTGTAGAGAACTATTCAGCCCCCTTGTATTCTTCATCCTTTCTCTTCTTCTAACATCTCAATTTCCACTTTTTTAAATGATGTCTGGTTAAATTAAAAGCAATTTATAAAATTAAAGTTTTGTAAGTTCTCAAAATTATAATAATTGCACTTGAAACCTTAGGTGATAAGTCAGGACAGTATTTAACTGAGGAGACTTTGCACAGGGCCTTTGAGAGCACAGGACAACAGAGAACCAATAGCCCTCATTTACATTGTTTCTGTACTTGAGGCCTGGAAACTCAGCTTCTAACAAATTTTTGAAAAAGGCACAGCTTTCCTTCCAAAGTTGGTTTTTACAGTGGCTATCCCAAAAGTGTAACCTTGACACTAGATGTCCAGTATGGAAAAAACATGTCTAGGGAATTTGTTAGAAAGAGCTGTATTTATTCCCTTTTATATAGTATCACAGAAGGCTGGATTTGCCCCCATGTCTGATAACTAAAACTCATTACTTACAACTGTGTCAATCTTTTTATTACTAACCCAACTATGTAGATTCTTTTGCAAGCTGAAGTGTCTGAAGTCTTCATCTTGTAAATTTTTTTTTTTAAAAGAAACACAAACCAGTGATTCTGAGATGCACTCTAAAATACTGCATAAATCAGGGATTCTCCAGGCTTATTCTAAACCACATCATGACATACCTTACTACTGGTTACATCTTGGCACCTTCTCATACTGTCTACATCTTGGCACCCTTCTACTGTTTATATTCTTGCCACACGGTTCCTTTCTTTCGGATAGCAACAGCTACTGCCATGCATACTTTGTTTTCTATGTACATACTACCTAACTAGTCTACACGCTCCACAGCTGGATCAAATACCCACTAAATACAATTTCCCAAATAATCATCCACTGAGGTGATACTGCTGCTGATCATGCCACTCCCATCCTGAGGTCTCAGTTCCTGTCCTAGCTGGGTTGTTCCTTGGCCTGCTGCCACTGGTCACCCTAGTACTCTCACTTTTCTGTTTAGAACTCAGTTACTCACTTGGCTGAAGTCTATTCTCTAGGAACATGACAAGAAAGAATGCTTGCAAGACAAATTTTGTGTCCTGTATAATGGGGTCTCCTAGAAATTCATGGAAAATATGTATTATAAAAAATGCACAGATTTAAATTTTTTTGTACAACCAAAATAAACTTGAACTTTGATTCTATTTTTCCATAAGCTTTTTGATGTCTTAATATGGTCATGCCATCCCCACATTTGTTGAGCCTCTAAGAATAGAACTACAAGTTAAAAATCATAGTCTCTCTGACTTTTTGAAGCACCATTCCACTCTTTTCCAGTTTTACTACAGAGAAGTCCCAAAGCCACTGTGATTGCTGGCCCATTGTAAATGTCTGACTTTTTTCCTTCTGGAAGTTTTGAGATTCTTTTCTGTATCCCTGGCATTAAGAATATGTACTAAGCTCTCATGTGGGTCTCTTGTGAATACTGAGTATGCACGCCCTCTATGTCAGACTCACACCCTGTATTACTACTATCATTTAATGTTTTCTACTTCCTGCCCTCCTTTCAGATATTAGGCTTTCTCAGTCAAGTCTCTAATTTTGTCCTATTTCCCTCCTTCTTCTTGTAAGAGATGAGAAGTCTTTCCTACTAGCATCTTTTTCTTGATTTATAGAATAACCTCCTTATCTCAGATCTCCGGGGATATTAACACTAACTTTTAGAAAATGAGTTTTCAGAGTCTAGCTTTTCTCAAGATGTGTTTCTTCTTCCCTCGCTCTCTCCTTTCTTTCTCTCTCTGCTTTCCTTTTCTTTCTCTTTTGGTTGTTTTCTCTCATGTTAAAATTTTCCCTTTACATGTTCTTGGCTACCAGTTCATATTAATGAGTGAGACACTGACAGTGTTAAGAGAAGTCACTGTTGGCTTGTTAACCTGCATTTCGTTCTCAGGTAATCTGCCTGAGGTGACCTTCTCACCTAGAGATTTCCTGGTATCAAGCTGATTTTCACCTGTTCTGCTTTCCACTCTGGACCATCTGCTGTCTCTGGGTCACTCAGTCTGGTTCAGCTTGCCTGCTGCAGCACTGTCCAATGTAACTTTCTAGATGATGGAAATGCTCTATCTTCACGCCACCAAAGAGAGCACCTAACAACTACATGTGGCTACCGAGCCCTTGAAATGTGGCTCATACAACTGATGAACTGAACTTTAGATTTTATTTAATTTTGGCTTACTGAAATAGCCCCATATGGCTACTAACCATATAGCACACTGAGAGGTAAGAGATAAGCCTCTAGGTCCCTCTGTGTTCTAGTCTGACAGGTAAGAGGAGGTTGCCTTGCTGCATGGGAAAGGGAAGGAAGTAAATACAAAGCACACAGAATTTCAAAGAAAGGTTAAATATTAACTAAAAAAAATCTAAGCTTCATACATTACTTATAAATATCAACATATAGGAAGTCAAATAGAAAAGAAGCTGAAGAGCCACTGGATGGGCAATGAGGGAGAAGAGGAAGAACAATAATTTTTCTTTACTTCACAAACTTTTTCTGTATTTAATTTTTTTTCATAGCTGACTTTAAATTCCTTGTATTAATACCATAATTCAAACCAACTCATAGAGCACTGGTTTCAATGAGAGGGGTTGAAAGCCTCTGTCTTGCTGGCTCCAGGAAAGTTATGTCTCAGTACTTACTCTGTCTCCAGGGTTAAGCAGTGGCTCGTTCTTACTAGTCAGCTTATTAAGCAGAGTGTAAGCTAGTTTTAAACTCCGACTCCAAAGTTTGCCTGAAATAAAATAAAAATACTAAGCAATGTAAACATAACAAACTCAATTATGAGTTAACATATTGTTAGTGTTTAGGTTTTTGCTATAGGCATGTGTGCTCACCTGAGAGAGACAGAAAGAGAGAGGGTAAGTGAGAAGTCACTCCCTAAGAGAGATGGCCATGCTGCAATCCCCTCTCCTGCTGGCCCCTCCCCCTGTAGACTGTAGATTTTTTTTTTTTCTGTTTTTTTTTTTTTTTTTTGGAGAGGTTTTTGATATAAGGCGTGTGCTCACCAGAAAGACAGAGAGAGACAGAAAGCGAGAAATCATCCCCTAGGGGGGATGGCCAGGCCGCAATCCCTTCTCTTTCATTTTCCTCTCGGGATCTTGGGCATGCATGCTCATGTGCCCAGTGTGAGTGTAAGCCACTGGGTCCAGGACTCGAGCTGCTGCGGTTGACTACATGGGAGTTCACGACATATCCATTCTGCTGACTGCTGGTCCCGCCCCTATAGTTTTTTTTGGAAAGAGAGATTTTTGTTATAGGGCGTGTGTGGTTGCTGGAGAGACAGAGAAACAGAAAGCAAAAAATCACCCCCAGAGGGGATGGCCACACTGCAATCTCTTCTCCATTTTCCTCTTGGGATTTTAAGCTGCTGGGTCCGGGACTCACACCATGGTCGATTATGTGAGAGTCCAGTGATGTAACCATTACATCATCTGCTGGTCCCCCACCATAATTAACATTTTAATACTGCATTCATACTACCACATAACACACCATTATGCTATTAGTTGACAGTTTCCAACTAGTAAATATTCTACACAATGCTGAAATGAATATCATTCCTATCTCTGAGAACAACTTAGATTTATTTTACTTAATGCAAAACTAAAACAAGATTTTAGGACCAGCTAGGGGGCATGGTGGTTAAGGTGGCTGGCTCCCACTTGGCTGCTACATGGTTCAAGTCCCAGGCCCAGCAGCTTAAAAAACATGCTGGGCACATGTGTATGCATACTCAAAATTTCAAGAGGAGAATGAAGGAAAAAGGACTATGGGTGATTTCTCACTTTCCCTCTATCTCTCTGTCCCTCCAGCAAGTGCATGCACCCTACAGCAAAACTAAAAACAATAATAACAGTAAAAACCAGGATTTTGGGACCAGCAGGTGGCATAATGGTTAGGTTGCTGGACTCCCTCCCACATAGTTGGCCGCAGTTTGAGTCCCAGAATCAGTGGCTTAAACATCATGCTGGGTACATGTGCATGCATGCCTGAAATCCAGAGAGAAGAATGGAGGAGAAGGGATTATTGTGTGACCATCCCTCCTGGGAGGTGATTTCTCACTTTTTGTCTCTCTGTCTCTCCGTCTTTCTGGAGAGTACACACACCCTGTAGCAAAAAACTCTCTCTAAAACAAAAACAAAAACAAAAACCCCCAAGATTTTATTGCAGAAAACTTAGAATATCAGAATATGTATATATGTACACTTGACCTCTGATAACATGGGATTTGAACCACATGGGCCCACTTAACTGTAAAGGTTTTGTAATAAACATATTGGAGAATACAGGACAGTACCATAAATGTATTTTCTTTTTCTTATGATTTTCTTAATAACATTTTCTTTTCTCTAGCTCGCTTCATAGTAAGGATACAGTAGGTAATACCTGTAACATACAAAAATACATGCTCATCAATTGTTTCTGTTACTGGTAAGGCATCCAGTCATCAGTAGGCTTTTAGTAGACTCCTTAGGGTTATTTGCAACTTTATATCCTTTGTTCTCAGAATTGAATAAAAAGAATCACTGTGTCTGAGCAACCCTGGAAAACTACTTATTTTTCCATAAAAGTGTTTTTCCAGGCTGCTCACTCAAATTTGTACATAAAATAAACCATTAATTACTATTTCTGTGGAGCTTTATTATTTCTGTCAACAACCAGTCGCAGTTTGAGCAGTCATGTCCTCTAAATGAATGCTCAAATTTCATCAGGTGCCACAATGTAAAATAAATGAGGGGGAAAAAAAACTCATTCGGGACCAGCAGTTGGTGTAATGGCTGTGTTGCTGGACTCCCACATAGTCAACCGCGGTTCGCGTCCCGGACCTGGTGGCTTAAACTCACACCGGGCATGTGTGTGTGCGTGCCCAAGATCCCGAGAGGAGAATGGAGGAGAAGGGATTGCAGTGTGGTCATCCCCCCTGGGGGGTGATTTCTCGCTTCTGTCTCTCTGTCTCTCTCTATCTTTCTGGTGAGCACATGCACCCTATAGCAAAAACCTCTCAAAAAAACAAAAACAAAAAACCAAACCCATTCAACTCAAAACAGTTTTATCCTATTATAAAACATGCATTCAAGATGCTAATAATGGTACCAGCAGATGGCGTAATGGTCATGTCACAGGGCTCCTGTGTAGTTGACCATGGTTCAAGTCTCAGACCTGGTGGCTTAAAACTTACACTGGGCATGTGTGTGTGCATGCCCAAAATCCCGAGAAGAGAATGGAGAAGAAGGAATTGTTGCATGGCCATCCCCACCAGGAGGTGATTTCTCACTTTCTGTCTCTCTTGAGTGTGCACACATCCTAAAGCAAAATATTCTCTCTCTAAAAAAATAAAATAAAAATACAAAGACATTAATAATTATAATACAGAATGGTTTCCAAGCCAAATTCAACAAAAAATAATGCACCAAGACCAAGCCAGTTGTCTCCCAGTAATGAAGATTTGCCACATTAGCAGAATAAAGGTGAGAAATAAAAATCATCTTGATAGAAGAAAATTTAAACAATTTAACTCATAATTTTAAAATGATTTCAAATGATTTTAAAAATCCTTACTAAACTCAGAATGAAAAGAAACAAACCACCTTAATGTGATAGGGGTGTCTTTTAGGATCCAAGAGGAAAAGTCCTGATGGCCAGACCTTCTGATGGAAGAGTCTAGGACACCAACCTTCAGTATTTCACTGAAAGTCTTGGCCAGTGCAAGTGTGGAGGGCAACTGTAAATGAAACTGCCATTATTTACAGATGACATGATTGGGTATCTATGAATCTTCTATCACTGAATTTAATAAGGCTGCAGGCAAAATCAATATGCAAACATCATTTAATTTCTTTTTTTTTTAAAAAAAGAATTATTTATTTATTTCACATGAGTTTTGCCAGAGAAAGACAGAGAGAGTGAGAGATGGAGAGTTAGAAAGCAAGCTGCCAGGTCCATGACTCAAACCACGGTAGACCATGTGGGAATTTCAGCGTCTTCACCACCATGCCACCCACTGACCCCAACATCATTTAATTTCTAAATACTTACAATAAAAACTTTAATGATACTATTTACACCAAGGTTAAACATACATAGTGAATACCCAAGACTAAGTATCACAGAAAATATGCAAAGACTTCACATAAAAAAGTATAAAACATTGAGGGACCAGCAGTTAGCGTAATGGCGGTGTCACTGGACTCCCACGTAGTCAACTGCGGTTCACGTCCTGGACCTGGTGGCTTAAACTCACGCTGGGCGCTTGTGCGTGCGTGCCCAAGATCCCGAGAGGAGAATGGAGGAGAAGAGATTGTGGTGTGGCCATCCACCCTGGGGGGTGATTTCTCGCTTTCTGTCTCTGTGTCTCTCTCTGTCTGTCTGGCGAGTGCACGCACCCTATAGTAAAACTTCTCCAAAAAAAAAAAAGAAAAAAAAATATAAAACACTGAGAGGGCAGCTTAAAACTCACACCAGGTGCATGTGCGTGAGTGCCCAAAATTCTGAGAGAAGAAGGGATTGCAGCATGGCCATCCTCACTGGAGGGTGATTTCTCACTTTCTGTCTCTCTGCCTCTGTCTCTTAAGCGAGCACAAGTCCCCTGTAGCAAAAATATCTCTCTCTCTTAAAAAACAAAAATTACTGAGAAAGTGAAAAAGACTGGAATGAATAGAGAGATTCTGTCCAAGGGTAGAAGACTCAGAAATTCAGAGGTATTAATACTGCTCAAACTGATTTACAGCAATGGTAATCAACATCCCAACTGGCGTGTTGACACCGAAGAAGTTAATACTCAAACTCACCCAGAATACAAAAAAGCAAGAATAGCTAAGATACTCTGAAGAAGAAGACAAGATGGAAAGACTTCTTACAGAGGTAAAGACATTATAAAACTATGGTAATTAAGAGAGTGTGGTCTAGACAAAAATCAGGTGGCCTGGTAGTTAAGGTGTTGAATTCGCACTTGGCTGATGGTCCAAATCTCAGACCAGGTGGCTTGAAAATCATGCTGGGTGCATGTGCATACACACCCCAAATCCTAGCAGGAGAGTAGACTGCAGCGTGGTCAACACCCCAGGGGGTGATTTCTCACTTTCTCTCTCTGCTCTCTGTCTCTCTCTGGTGAGTGCGCACACCCTCTGGCAGAAACCTTCAAAAAAAAAGAGTGTGTAGTTTAGGCACAAGGAGAGAAAATAAATCAATGGAATAAAATGGAGAACTGCAAAAAGGTCCTCGCCTGTGTAGACAACTCACCATACAACCCAGAGCTGCTGAAGCTGGGACATGAACCCATTTTCTTGGGAACAGGGATGATTTTTCTTTTTTTTCTTTTTGGAGAGGTTTTAGCTATAGGGCATGTGTAATCGCCAGAAAGACAGAGAGAGACAGAGAGAGACAGAAAGCAAGAAATCACCCCTCAGGGGGAATGGCCACACGCAATCCCTTCTTCTCCATTCTCCTCTCAGGATCTTGGGCATGCATGCACACGCGCCCAGCGTGAGTTTAAGCCACCGGGTCTGGGACTCGAACCGTGGTCAACTACGTGGGAGTCCAGCAACATAGCCATTACGCTAACTGCTAGTCCCAGGGATGATTTTTCTTGAAAAACTGACTTGAGACCCACCCCCACATCACACACAAAAACACATTCCAGGCTGATGGAAGCTCTAAGTATGAATGATGAAAACAATAAAACTTCCCCAAGCTAAGAGAATAATTATAATCTATATCTAAGGAAAGAACCTTATAGAAAGAAAGAAAAAAAAAAAAGCACAAACCATAAAGAAAAAAAGGTAAGCCTGAATGAACTTCTGTCCACTCAGCTGTCGGTGTGAAGTAGAAAGCTAGGCCTACCATAGGGGAGAGGCTTGCAGCACAGCTCTGAAGGAGGACTGTTACTCAGACCATAAAAATCTCGACAAACAGGGCCAGCCAGTGATGTGCCAGTTGGGACAGCTGGATCCTACATGGCTGACTGCATGCTTTGAGTCCCTCACCAGCAGCTTAAAAAACATGCCAGGTGCATGTGTGTGCATGCGTGCCCAAAATCCCAAGAGGAGAATGAAAGAGAAGAAACTGCGGCATGGTCATACCCCCTGGACGGTGCTTTCCCACTTCCCTCTCTGTCTCTCAGGCAAGTGTACTTATCCTATAGCAAATAAAAAGTAAAATGCCTACATTCACTCAAGAGAATCACATAAAAATGTTCATGACAACACTAGACACAACAGTCCCAAAGTAGATACAGCCCCAAGTTCATCCACTGGAGACTACACAGATAAGCTCTGGTATATTCTTACAATAAATAATGCTCATCAATGTGAAAAAACTAACAACAGCATCACACAAACTCATGGATTTGTTTCACACGCTCAGCAAATAAATGCAGACACTCAGGAAAAAAACCTTTCACGTTAGAATCCTGTTTACATAAAACTTAAAAACAGGTTAGCCAGCAGTGTGAGTAGTCAGGAAATGGTTCCCTTTGTGTGGAAGGGGGACAGAGTCTGGAGACCTGGCACACTTCAGCTCTGAGTACTGTTTACAGAAAGCACTCACTCTGTGGAGCCCATCCATTGTACAGATGCTCACAAACTGTGTCACACACAAACACAATATGGAATCAAAAGATGCCAAACACAAAAACTACATACTGAATGATTCCACTCATACAAAATAAGACAAAACTAAACTGCCTTGATCCAAATGCACACGGGATATTTGAAATGCTTACATGCTCAAAACTGAAGTGGCGGTGATCACCACTGGTCAGTGAGTGGCTCCCTCTAGTGGAGGAGAGGTTACAGGAAATGAGGCAGTGTTCCACTTTACTAGCATTTGTGCTGGAATCTGAGGGATTTGTGGTATAGTCATTCACTATATGTCTGTGTTATAGTACATGGGTAGTATTTACAGCTAAGCCAGAAGCACAAATGCTTTCTTAACACTTACCATAGGTGAGGGTGTAGATGGCCTTCCCAGTTGTATCCAAGGCAGTCAGACAGGGAGCTTTGGGCTGTGTTGTGCCCCACTGCTGTAGGGCAGCCAGCAGAGACGGAGGCCAGGGAGTCCCCACAGCCACAGGCTCCCCTTTCAGCACTACCATCTCATTTCCCTCAGGCTTCGGCTGATATGGATCAGGTTGCTGAACTGTAAGGAAAATCAAAGTTAAAAATCAACATTTCAAAGTGTATATGCACACATTCTATTTTAAAGCATTCATTATTTATTATTATTTAGATTTTTTGCTGTAAGGCACATGTGCTTGCCAGAGAGAAAGAGAAATGAAAAGTGAGAAACCACCCCCCCCTCCAAATGGGGATAGCCATACCACAGTCCCTTCTTCTTCATTCTCTTCTTGGGATTTGGACCTACACATTCATGTGTCTGGCATGATTTTCAAGGCACCAGGTCCAAGATTTGAACCGTGGTTGGCTACATGGGAGTCTAGTGCCTTAACCACCATCCCACCTGCTGGTCCCCATAATTTTGTTTTTCAATCCCAACTGTAAAAAGCTTATAATAATTTATTTACGTTTCTTTATCACTACCATCGTCACAGACTAACAACTGAAAGAGTCAATCGAGAGTAATGGCTTTGAAACAGTTAAAAACAACCCACAGCCTCACACGGCACAGGTGACCTCTCTCTAATTTGACCTATGCCACCATTTTTGGTACAGATTTTGCTTTAAGATGCATGTGCTCATGGGAGAGAGAGAGAGACAGACAGACAGTGAGAGGGAAAGTGAGAAATCATCCTCCAGGGTGATTTATTCTCCTCCCAGGATCTTGGGCATGCATGCACACACCGCTGGTATGAGTTTCAAGCCATCGGGCCTAGGACTCAAACCATGATTGGCCATGTGGGAGTCCAGCAATGTAACCACTAAGCCATCTGCTGGTCCCAGCCTGTGGCACCTTTAACACCCCACAACCTCAGCCCAGTAGCCATAATAACCACTTTCCCAGCCGGGGAAGAGATCCTAGGGACCATCCATACAGGATGAAAGTGAACAGAACCACTTCAGCGTAAGCATCGGAATGACCACCACTATGTTGAAAGAAAAAGAATAAAGTAGTATCTATTTTGAGTGGCTATGTAACGAAAACATGCCCAGCCAATAAGAGAGGCTGCTCTAAGAAGCTATGATATCACTGGACTCTGAGTTTGAAAGCCAGGTGAAACAATGTCCTAAAATCATGGCTAATCCTCAGGTACAAAGGAGACACCGGGCTGGCCTACTGTCAGCAACACCCCATGAAAGGGGTAAAGGGGTCAGTCTGTAGTCTAATGGTTAAGGTGGCTGGATCCTACATGACCAACCATAGATGGAATTCCGGACCCGGTGGCTTGAAAAACACACAGGGCACATGTATGTGTGTGCCTAAAATCCTAGAAGGAGGGAGAAATGGAGGAAAAGGGATTGTGGTGTGACTATGTCCCACTGGAGGTGCTTTCTTATTTTTTTCTCTATCTCTGGTGAATGCACACACCCTCTGGCAAAATTAAAAAAAAAATATTCTCACTTTATCTCTCACTGTCTCTATCTTTCTTTCTCTCTGGCAAACACATGTGCCCTAAGACAAAAACCTCTTTAAAAAAAACCTTTTTAATTTGTTGCTCATATTGAAGCAACTTAGCATTTTCCTAATCAGATGCATAGGAAAATGCTAAGTTGCTTCAATATGAGCAACATGGGACCAGCAGTTAGCGTAATGGCTATGTCACTAGAGTCCCATGTAGTAGGCCACAGTTCAAGTCCTGGACCCGGTGGCTTAAACTCACGCTGGGCACGTGTGCGCGCGTGCCCAAGATCCTGGGAGGAGAATAGAGGAGAAGGGACTGCGGCATGGCCATCCCCCCTGGGGGGTGACTTCTCATTTTCTATTTCTCTGTCTCTGTCTGTCTGGCGAGCGTACGCGCCCTGTAGCAAAAACCTCTTCAAAAAAAAAATATATATATATATGTGAGCAACAAATTTTCTACCTGCTTAAATAGAGTCAAAAGTCATGTGTGATTCTAAATGTACAGTCATACAGAGTGACCACAGAGTATGGAGAAAAGAGAACAGGGACCAGCAGTTAGCGTAATGGCTGTCACTGAACTCCCATGTAGTCGACCGCGGTTCAAGTCTCAGACTCGGGGGCTTAAACTCATGCCGGGTGCGTACATGTGCGTGCCCCAGATGCTGAGAGAATGGAGGAGAAGGACTGCAGCGTGGCCATCCCCCATGGGGGCTGATTTCTTGCTTTCTGTCTTTCTGTCTCTGTCTCTCTGGCGAGTGCACATGCCCTGTAGTGAAAACCTCTCCAAAGGGGGAAAAAAAGAGAGAGAATAGTACAATGTAATAGCAATAACCCATGTCTGATGCACGTTTGCCTAGGCCTCCAAAACTCATGGCCACCTGTTCCCACAAATTTAAAAGCTGAGAGTGAGAGAACTCTTTACCTTCCAACAATTCCTCAAAATCGTCCACAAAAAACTCTTTCAGTGGAGGGCGCTTTGGCCTCTTCAGGGTGTTCAGAAGCTGCTGGATCTTGGAGGACACTCTGCTGTTCACAGGAACCCCTGTCAAGAGAAGAATGGAGGGGCTGTGAGGTGCCAGAGTGTTGTGCCCTCTGAAGAAGGGGACACAGGCATGAACAAACCCTATAAATCCAGCCATGCACCAGCCCCACTGGACAGTCACCTGGAATTTGTTCATTCATTTTAAAATTTATTTTATTTCTTAATTATAGATAATTGTGCATCTTTGTGAGATACAACATGGTTTTCCAAAGCATGCATACTGTGTGATAATAAAATCAAGGATATTAGCATATTCATCGTCTTCAGCAAACAACATTACATTATGTTGTGCATGTTTGATTTCTGTTTTTCATTTTTTTTGGCACTATATATAAATAAGATTGGCAATGGCCCTTTTTTACTGTTGTGGTATAGCAGCCCATGATCTGTTTGCCTTGTTTATATGATTAACAAGCATTTGTTGAATGCCTTCCAGAAAGCTTCTTCTTTTTTTTTGGAGAGGTTTTTGCTATAGGGCACTTGTGCTTGCCAGAAAGACAGGGAGAGACAGAGACAGGAAGTGAGAAATCACCCCCCAGGGGGATGGACACGCTGCAATCCCTTCTCCGCCATTCTCCTCTTGAGATCTTGGGAATGCACATACACGTGCCTGGAGTGAGTTTAAGCCTCCGGGTCCAGGACTTGAACTGCAGTTAACTACATGGAAGTCCAGTGACATAGCCATTACGCTGACTGCTGGTCCCATCCAAGAAGCTTGTTCTAAGCAAGTGTTTTTTTTTTTTTTTTTTTTTAAGGAATTATTTTTTTAAATAATTATTTATAAATTTTATTTATTCATTCATTTTTTAAAAAAATTTGACCAGAGAGAGGAAGTGTGACAGGGAGACAGAGAGAGAGGGAAAGTGAGAAAACAAGCCACCAGGTCAGGAACTCAAACCATGGTTAGCCATGTGGGAGTGTCCAGCATCTTAACCACCAGACCTAACCTGCCATTTCCAAGAATTATTTTATTTAACTTTATTTAGTTATTCATTCATCTGTTTTAATTTGATCAGAGAGGGACAGAGTGAGAAAGAAAGAGAGAGAGAGAGAGAGAGAGAGAGAGAGAAAGTGAGAAAGCAAGCCACTAGATCCGGGACTCAAACTGGGGTCAACCATGTGGGAGTCCAGCGCCTCTAATCATCACCACATCACCTGCAGGCCCCAGGAAGTAGTTTTAAAAGTGGTCCAAGGAGAGGCCAGCAGGTGGCATGGTGGTTGAGGGCACTGGACTCCTACATAGCCAACCATGGTTTAAATCCCAGACCTGGCAGCTTGCTTTCTCACATTTTCTCTCTCTCTCTTACTCTGTCCCTCTCTGGTCAAATTTAATTAATTAATCAATTAATTAAAATAAATAAATAAATGAAGTTAAATAAAATAATTCTTAAAAAATAAAAGCAGTCCAGGGATCCCAAGAGGAAAACCCTTTCAGAGAGTTCGTGAGGTGGGGACCATTCCATGGCAATGTCATAGTATCAGTGCTTGTTCACTCTCCTCTGCAGTTTTTCAGAGGCCACACATTTGTGATACCATAACAGACTAATGTGGCCTAGATTTCTCCAGGCCATGAAACACACTGATAAAAGTAGCAAACAAGCCTGTTCTCACTAGACATTTGATGTGGAAAATATTTTTCATGAGTATGTGCTATATATGTTAACATGTAATGAGTTTATCATTGCTATTTCCAAATTAAGTATATCTTTTAAAAATGTTTGTTTTTTTTTAACAGTTTTTTGTTATAAGGCATGTGCACTCCCCAGAGAAAGAGAGAGAGACTAAAAGTGAAAAATCCGCCTCCCCAGGGGTGATGGTCACACAGCAGTCCTTTCTCCTTTAGTCTCCCCTTGTGATTTTGGGCATGCACGCACGTGTACCCGGCGTGAGTTTTAATTCACTAGGTCCAGGACTCAAACTGTGGTCCACTACGTTGGAGTCCAATGACATAACCATTATGCCATCTGCTGGTCCTCAGAATTTTTAGTTTTAATTTCTTGTATGGTGAATAAGCACCAAGAGAATTCATACAAACAAAAAGCTAATATCTTCAGTAACTATGAAGAAACCGCTCCAAGAGACAGAAAGTCAACAAGAAAGATAAGATCCTGCCCTCAAATGATTCATCAAAATCGAGCAAAACTATACATGCATGTGTAGGAAACATCCTGAGGTGGTGAGCTGCCATAACCCATCAGGCACTATGGTAGACCAGGAGCAAGGAGGGCTGCTGTGCCCAAGCTCCACCCAAAGGGAGAGCCGAGCTGACCCCACCTACGGCAAGTGTGCTGGTTAACGCTGCAACTGCTGGTAGCGCTTTTCCCCTCCAGTTACAATCCCAGTCTAGAATCAAGTACTGCCTTTATTTGTCAGGACCCTTTAGTCCTTTAGTCTAGAACATTCCCACAGTCTTTGTCCTTTATAACAGTGATATTTAGAAGGAGTGTGGTTCCTCTTTTTTATTAAGTAGAATGTATTTTTATTTTGAATTTGCTTGAAATGTTCTCATGATTTGATTGGATGAAATACCCCCAGAATATCATGTCCAGAGATGTCAGTGTCCATCTGCCTCCGGGTAATGCTGATTTCATCCCCCAAAGTTTTGACCGACATCTTTACCATATTGCTATTCTTTTCTTGTGTGACTAATTAAACAATGTTTGAGAAGATACTTCAAGACTATGTGAGTATCTTGATCATCACCAAACCTACTCCCTGGATTTAACAGCCATTGAATCCTTGCCAGGATCAACTTTTACTGAGATGGATGCAAAATAATTTTCGAGCTTGGGCACTCTATTTACATTTACAAGGCAGCACTCGGCATTTTGCATCTCTCTCTCTTTCTTCTTTCACAATTCACACTGGGTATCCTCTTCCACAGTGAGGATCTGGGTCCCAGCACAAAGCTCTGGTGCTGGAGGCCATCATCTGCCCAAGCCCTCTCCGGGGTGCTCCACCCACCACAGTGAAAAGCAAACCTACGACCAGATCTAGGATGGCGGCCAGCAGGAGGCTGATGAAGGAGCTTGAAGAAATCCACAAATGTAGGGAAGCAGCAGTTAGCGTAATAGCTATGTCGCTGGACTCCCACATAGTCGACCGCGGTTCGCGTCCCAGATCCGGTGGCTTAAACTCACTCCGGGCGCGTGTGCATGCGTGCCCAAGATCCCGAGAGGAGAATGGAGAAGAAGGGATTGCAGCGTGACCATCCCCCCTGGGGGGTGATTTCTCGCTTTCTGTCTCTATGTCTCTGTCTGTCTGGTGAGCGCATGCGCCCTATAGCAAAAATCTCTCCAAAAAGAAAAAAAAATCCACAACTGTAGAATGAAAAACTTCGGTAACATCCAGGTTAATGAAATTAATTTATTGACTTGGCAAAGGCTTATTGTTCTTGACAATCCTTCACATGACAAGGGGGCCTTCAGAATCTAAATCAACTTTCCAGCAGAGTATCCATTCAAACCACTGAAGATCACATTTAAAACAAAGATCACCCAAACATTGATGAAAAGGGGCAGGTCTGTCTGCCAGTAATTAGTGCTGAAAACTGGAAGCCAGCTACCAAAACTGACCAAATAATCCAGTCCCTCATAGCACTGGTGAACGACCCCCAACCCAAGTACTTCCTCCAGGCTGACCTAGTTGAAGAATACTGAGGACTGTAAGAAATTCTGTAGGAACACTAAAGAGTTTACAAAGAAATATGGGGAAAAGCGACCTGTAGACCAAAATCTGCCATGACTGATTCCAGCAAGTGTGAGCAGAGACCCTGAGAGCAGTCTATTCAGACACCCCGCAAAGCAGGACTCTGTGGAAAATTGACACATGCCACTGCCTGCCATTTGTGTGTGGCAGTTACTAACTTTCTACAGTTTTCTTAATCAAAAGTGGTCTAGGTAAACTGTAAAGAAAGGTCTAAAAATGAAAGATGGTCTAAAAAAAGTAAAAAGAAAAGCAAACTTGCTAACAGGAGCTTGGCATGTGTCTGCTGTTCTTTTCGCCTGGTCCTGTCCAAGGCTGAACACAGTGCTCACAGCTCACTCACCTCAGCTCCTTACCCACCATCCCCCAGTATGGCCATGGTATGCATTTGAAATACAACTGTGCTCATTTGTTTCCAACTGTTTTCAGTTTTAGAAATTTCTCCCTCCCCATTCTTTATGTTTTGAACATGCAGAATATTAACGAACCTGAAAAATTAAAAACTATGTACAAACTCAAAGAAATGCTATTCCTTTCTGTGCTCCTTCCCCCACCTCCAGAAGGTGACCAATATCATTGTATTCTGGTTTCCTTCCTGTTTCCTTCTACAAAGAAGAGAAGACACATGCATGATTTATTATTCTCCCCACATTTTCTCACAGAAAATGTGGTAGACTATAAATGTTCTTTTACCCTTTATAACATCTGAAAAATCACCTCATTATAGCCAATTAAGATCTTTCTCATCCATTTTGATAGCTGCCAAGTCTTCCACAGTGTGAATGTACTAGCTTTATTCAACCAATTTGTGCAGCTTGGGTAATAACATAGTTTACAGTTTATTGCTATTAAAAACAGTGCTGCAACATCTAATCGTATGCACATGTATTTCTTTATTTTTGTGGTGTGTGTTCAGGGTAAAATACCAGATTGATATTGCTAGGACTGAAGGTAAGTATATGTATTGATTTTATCAATTTCCAAAGGGGTTGAACTACTTTGCACTCCTACCACTAATATGTATTTCTTTAATTATGAAAAAGGATGACTATTAAAGAGCCATTTTTTATCTATTTTTGTAAACTGCCTATTTGCTTTTTCACTGCCCATTTTACTATAACAAAAGTCAGCAAACTTTTTTTTAAAAGGCTAGACAGTAAATATTTGGTCTTGAGGGAGGCACAATTTCTGTCACACTTACTGAACTCTGATATAGTAGCACGAAAGCAGCCATATGAAAATACTACACCAAAAGTTATATACTTTTGATATATGTGCACTGAATACTCCCTTAATGGTCCAAATGGATCAAGTATCTGCAGTGCTTGATGTGGATT